GCATCTATTAAAATAGATGTACTTTTTAATTTTATGTATTTTACCATCATAATAATATTGAGATGAAATACACAGATTGTTAATAGAGCTGATCCCTAGCTAATAGAAGGATAGCTTCAATTCAGTACACATTTAACTTTTCTACAATAAGTACAGTTACCTGTAATTTTTTTTTAAGATTTATTTATGCTTACAGAATTGGGGTACAGCCCAGAGGTGTGGGAGGGTGAGAGGATTCACCAGAGACAGAGTGGGGAAACAGAACAGACAGATCCATGAAGTACACTGCTGCAGGGAACAGCCGGCTGGTCAACAGGTCTGCCATGCCATGTGGGTCAGCTCCCTGGCTGGGAATCAACTTGTGCTGCAGTGGCTTCGAGAGCTTTGTAATGCAGTGTTTTAAACTGTTGTGCCACCAGGGAGAGCCCCAGTTACCTGTACTTTTATCCATTTGACTTGGGTTATGAGGAGAAAAGAAAATTAAAAAAAAAAAGTTGAGCTCTTCCTTCCAAATTAGTATCTACCAAATAAATTTAAGCTGTATTTGGTCTCTTGAGGCACCTACCTTGTTCCACAGTTGGGCAATCAAATTAATGTAGTGGTGTAAAGTGAACAGCAGCCATCGATATCCTCTTTTGAACTTGGTCAGATGTGTTACTTTCCCAGACTCTAGTGATTCCCTAGTGATTCTCCTAGAACTGCAAGAAGTTGCCCCAAACCCCCCACACCACGTGGTAGCTTCTGATTCACCATCATACCTGTGAGTGAGAGAGATTGCTCTATTTCACAGAGGAAAATGGCACCAAGGTTCTGAATCCAGAGGCTCTGGCAGAGCCGGTGCACTGTGAGCTCCAGCACAGATACCAGAGGCACCGCCAATCACGGCCCTGGCCTGAGCCCTAAGACACACCAGAGAGAGCAGACTCGTTGTGACAACAGAGGAAGAAAGGAGAAACATTCCAGGGCTTTTCCCACAGGGACCCTGAAAGGAAACATGGAGATTATCTTCTGGTCTTTTCCTTCCGTTGGGTCAGGGCCACTGAGAAAAAAGACAGTGGGGCAAGAGGAGAGCCATGTCCTTCCTAGGAACTTGCATCTTAGCCATCTGAGTGGAGTAATAAGCAAAACGGATCGGAGGGCCAAATTGACTAAGCTTGACTCCTGACCTGACCCCTAGCAAAATGTGGCTACCCTTGTGGCTTCACCAAAACAAAGCAATGAGCTCAATTGTACCTATGTCAAGGAATTATTAGAAGCATTACATGAGATAATGCATATAAGTAGGTGTTCAGAACTGAGTTTGGTACCAAATGAGCACTTTTTTTTATATGTGTCAGTCACATTATCATCATGTTTATCATCATCCTTATTATCCTCTTCATTATAACAAGGAGAGTCAACAGAGACCAAGTAGAAAATGACTGTGGTTAAGTCTGGCATATCAGGGAGGCATCATAAAGGTTGACATCATTAATCTGAAGCAGTTTATATGACACCTTTGTGCAAATTAGAAAATGACACCTCTTCTCAGGACAATTCTCACTTACTTTTGGGAAAACTATACTAATGCACACAAATATCTGTGATGTCTTTTTGGAAAAGGTTGTACAATGCACAGCCCTGTACAGTGGCCTGGATTGCCCTCTGGCAGAAGAGACCACAGGACCTGGCGAGCTGTGAAATGATGAATAACTAGAGGAGGGTTAGAGGCTAAAGGGAGCTTGAGTGGTCCAGGGAATGCCTGGATATGTGCACAAAAATTCCAACAAGAGTATAGTAGAAAAATATATGTTCAAGAAGAAGTTTCAAAGCTTTTCTCAGATGTTGAAAAGAATTTTGAGCCCTCAAATGTGAGGGAACCCCATTCTAGAGAGAGGAGATGAGATGAGGTAGGTGTATGGAGTCTGAGGTGATGCAACAAATGAGGCAGGCTCTAGGTGCAGCTCTAGATGAAAGAGAGCCCCATAGTCACTGAGAGAGGTCACAGCTGGGACTTGTGGAATGCAGGAACTCAGAATCCCAAATGCGGACAACTGAAAGTCAACAAAGGCCAAGAGGAGCATTTCTATGTTAGATCCAAGCTTGTCTTAAAACATAGGGAAGTCCACAAGTACACCCTCTCTCTGAGTCTCTGTCCCCTCCCCACAAGGGACTTGTGGGTCATACTGCATCCTTTCACCCAAGATGCAGTTAGTGGCTGCTCTTACTGTCTCTGCCTTTTTAGGATTCTGACAAATCTCAGCAAAGAAGATAATGACACAAACCACCACCCCACTAATGACTTCAGTGACCAGGGTGCTAAACCGTGAGGCTTCTCTCTGTAGATGTGGCTGGCCCTGATGCTCTAGAAGGTGCTGATGAACAAGTGAGTCCAGGCTTCCAGGCTCTGACTCAGCTCGAGCCCCGGTGACCAGCCCTCCAAACACACTGGGTTCAGGGCTCTGAACAGTGACTTCCCTGATTTTAAGCCACAAGCTCTGGTTGTCCACTCAGTCCAGGGCCTCAAACAGGTAGCAAGGGTCCTTCCCTGAGGCACCCATGAAAAGGTAGCAGAGAGTGTGCCAGGGTCATTCCCTGATGCTAGCACAGTCAGCAAGGGAGCAGAAGAGGGGTGGGCTGCGAGCCCCTGGCCATTTCCCCAGCTCAGACCTCATCCTGGAACTGTATTGGAATGTTCTATTTAGACACATTTATGTGTACATGTAAAGCTTCAGCTGAGTGTTTCTTAAATAATGACACATTATTAATTGTTTGTTGTTGTTTTTAATTTGGCATTTGACTCACCCCTGGTCTTGTTCTTTGTGCTTCTTTCTCTTTCTTAAAAAAAAAAAAAATGCCCTGGTTATAATAAAGTGCCTACAGGTGAGCAAATAAACCTACCAGCACCTTGACCTATCAGTCCTGTATAGCAGAATCATAAATCACTAAGTCAACAGAATTCAATTTTTAATGTGATTTAGTTTTGTTAAGCTTTAATATTCTATTTTTAAGCCTTTTTAAAAAGAATTTTTTCATTTATTTATGCATATAAGAACTGGGATACAGGCCAGAGAGATGGTGGGGAGTGGTGAAAGGATTCACTAGAAACAGAGTGGGGAGCAGAACAGGCAAATTAACTGAAATACACTGCTGAGGGGAGCAGCAGGAGAGACAGGAGAGATCTGCTGTGCCATGTGGGTCACCTCCCAGGCCAGGGATTGAACTCATGCTGCAGTGACTGGCAATAGCTTGATAAGGCTGAGCCACCAGGGAGGCTCTAAGATATTTTCTTATGTAAAAAATTTCTTATATAGAATAGAAAATTTCATAGCCTTGGACAATTAATTATTCAGATTGAGATAGGATATCAGCAGTGTGTGTGGTATTTGTATTAATACTATTGGGCCATCAGAAAAGTCATGACACATTTTTTTCTATATTTCCTATGCAAAAATACACCATGACTCTTATGACAACTGAATATGTCCCTGTAAATACTTCTTAATTACCAACTGAATGCCAGAAACACAGCAGGCAGAGAAAGTATATACTGTCTAGCACTAAGGAGTTTGTAGATCCTTGGGAGCTGGGGAGGGTGCCTCCTTATATAGCTGTCAGTCAGGGGCACTAAGGAGAACATGCCAGTGTCTTGGAGCAGTGTTACTGAATGCCTCTGCTACTGGGAGCTGGGGAGTGTGTCTGAAGGGCAGGTGACTGCTGATGAGACTCTGAGGGATGATGTGATCAGGCTAAGAGAGAGGGAAGAACATCTCAGGCAAAAGGAGTAACATGCAACTACATGGGTGCTTGACAGACTAAGCCTGCTGAATAATAAATGAGGGAAACATGGACTTGGGCTTGTGTGGGGGGAAAACCAGGACTAGAATGAGATATTGGGCCAGCTTGGGAAAAGCCTTCTATGCACGCTAATTCTTAGGACTTAACTCCCTGTAGGAAACAGGTGATCCTGGAACTCTCTTGAGCACAGATTAATAGTTCTGAGACATTGTGGTGGCAAGAGGCCAGTCTAGTACTATCCGTGGCTTCTGCAAGTGGTACCGTTTATTCATTGAACAAGTCTAATTTTGCATGCAATGTCTATTTGTGAAATATCTCTTTTGTGTCAAGCGCTGCATCTGTGACTTGTAGTTGCACTAGTCTTCCTGCTTAGTTTTCTTTATGGGTGACACATCTCCTAAAAATGCAAACTCTGTAAGTCAAAGTCTTTGCATGTAATTAAAATAGCCCAGACTAGGAGCTTCATGAAGCATTGCGGTAGAGTGCTGCTTTTGCATGTATGCAGTCATTGACTTCTGTCTGGTATTGTGATTTTTTCCCAATGGATGACATTTTTGATTTCAGGAATATAGGACAGCAGAGCCAGAAAGACCTCACATATCATCTAGACCAAATTTTTCCTTTCATATGTAAGGAATTTCTGACCAGAAAGTGAAGCTCAGTGTGCCTTACTTGCCGTCACTTTCAGGGCTGAAATCTGGGCTCTGCAAATCTGAAGGTCTTGCTTTTTGAGACACCACAGACAAGAATTGTATATTAAGTATGCACTGTATCAGCTGAGGAAAGAGAAAGGCATGACTCCCGTAGGGTCTTTGCACACACGTTTCTCTGACTTGGATTTACTGCTCTCTCCTAACTCCCAGTGAATCCACTGTTCACAGTTTACGCAGTGCTCCATTTCTTCCAGTGATCTGGTATGTGGTGAGGATGAATTGTTCAGCAGCCCGAGAAAGTCACACTTTTGTTTCCTGCCCCCTCCTCACCAGGAAGGTAAATTTCACCATCTAATGGAGCACCTGATTGTAACTCCAAATTCCCACTGGTCCTAACTTGTATGGGCTGTAAAGCCTCTTCAGTCCACAACCTCTGATGATCACATGCTGCCCTGGTTAGGAGTCTTAAGAAAAGTTGAGAAGTTTTCAGGTGTTTAGTAAATGAGAGTTGAGCCTCCCCCTTTGGGCCACATGGGTCTGACATTTGAGCAAGTTTCCCTGTGTTCACAGACACCAGCTCCATCCGCAGTTTGCAGACTGGCGTGGGAGAGCTGCACGGGGAGACCAGGTTCTGGCATGGAAAGGACTATTGCAATTTTGTCTTCAAAGACTGGGTGCAACTTGACAAACCTTTCGCTGGTGAGTACCAGGGTAGTGAGTGGCACCTTATAATTTGTCCCTTGTCAGCATCTCAAAAAGTATGCATGTACATGATCTGTTATTTGCTTTGTTTTGTTCTGAATTTTTGGTAAATCTTTGGAGACTGTGACTAAGGACTTCTCCTTGTGGATATATTTTGAAAAGGAGAATGAGGCAGAACCATTTTTTTTTTTTTTTGAGCTTGGGGTGGGGGGTCAATTTATTATTTTCTAAGAGATTATATCCTCCCTTTAATAATCTTTTTCTGGTTATCATCTTTATTTTCCTGCATTAGAATGACACATTTTCAGATGATCACTTTGCTTATGTCTCTATGTCTAAGAAGATATAGAGATTCCCCTGCATAGGTATTATTTCACCAGGATGAAAAGAAAGATGTAATATCAAGTATAATTGTTTGGATAATTATTCTAACTCATGTCCATATTGCCTGATGGTTGTCTATTACTAAGTGAATGAAACATACTTGCAGGAAGTGCATGGGAAACTGGTGTGAGATATGTTTTTGTTAGCTGTCAAGAAGTTGTTCTACCAAAGCCAAAGTACACATAGTGGGCATTAGCCATTTCCTTTTACATACGTCATTGGACAAGACTGGGGCTAGAGGGCTGCTGTCCTAGCCCACAAGGCAGTGACAGTGCTTGCCTGGTGCACCTGGGCAGATTTCATAGACAGGTACACCACTCCCCGGATGCCCTGGCATGACATCGCCTCTGCGGTCCATGGGAAGGCAGCTCGTGACGTGGCACGTCACTTCATTCAGCGCTGGAACTTCACCAAGGTATGGGAATGGTTTCATTGTGGGTCAGCCCATTTGATGAGAGACAGGCCTGGTGGAGGAGAAACCTAGAGGGTGGGCAGGAAGGGACTGAGTGAGTCCCAGCTGTGTCACCTACCCATAGTTGTATGCTTGGTTGAGAGTTCCAAGGCCTCTGGTCAAAAGACAAAATTATATCACAGACATTTTAGAACAAAAAGGTTAGATGCTACCATTAGGGCCTATTATTCTAACCCCATTTAACAACTGCAACACTAAGTGTTGATTATGTGTGTCTGGCCTGGATCCATAGTCCTGCAGAAGGTTGTGTTTCCAGTGGAGAGTGTTGCTTAGGTGAGATGAGCAGGTTGGGACTTTAAAGTCATTCAGCCCTGTTCTACATGGCATTCCTGTTAGCACAGGCTTCTGATGAAGGTGCTAGTAAAGTGAGCAGTGTGACAAGGATTCAGGCAATTTTTCCCCTCCAGATTGTGTCTCCTTTGGTTTGCCTTCATTGCTTGTAAGAACTTGATCTAACATTTATAAGCTACATAACTATCATAAATGATTTTTCTTTACTGCACTGAGGCAGTAATCTCCCTAACAATTTGTGAAGAAAGAGTAAGCTTTATCAACAACATTGTGTCTGATCTAATTGTTCGCTTACATAACATTATGAAAATTTAATGGTAGTTCTTAAAACTAATGGGAATATTTTAAACAATTATTTAAGAGGGATGAATTCATGAAGAAAGTAGTATGACTTTTAACCTATTGACCTGACAAAAAGAAAGTACTGCTAGTACTTGAGTGTGGGGTTGGGATTCTTGCTGCTTATTCCGTTCCCTGGTCATCAAGAAACATTTTATATCAGGACAAAAGGGACTATGGTAAGGTTAAGGAAAAAATTGGACTTTTTGTGGTGAAATGATTATAGACACATGTTGATTTTCAATGCTGCACTCTTGGAAGCTATGTAATGCTATCAGGCATTGATACTTCTTTTGAAAAAAGGTCTTTGAAAAAGCATTCAATCTTTGACTCTGAACATCTATTACTGATGTTTAAGCTTACAAAGCAAGAATAAATAAGTTGAATAAATACTTTGATAGATTCTAATAATTCAAACAAAATGAGAGCAGAAATGTTCATTAGTAGGAAGTTAGTAAACAAATCATGATTATGCCATGCCATTTTGAATGAAATTATTAAAAATGGTATATAGTACTGTATTGCTGTGCTGAGATATCTACAAATTAGTAAAAAATTCAGTTTACAAACAATATTCTCATTTTTGTGGTTATATACCTGTAAGACCAAAGATAATTTTAAAACAGTCTTTACAAATATAGAAGAATACATGTTCACTGAAAAAAGGAAATGTAGGAAATTGAAAACAAAGCTAAATAATTCACAACCTCTACAACATTGATATTATTATTCTCTTTCTCTTTTAAATGAATAAACCTGGATTTTTTTTTTTAAGATTTATTTATTTATGCATACAGAACTGGGGTACAGGCCAGAGATACAGAGGCAGTGAGTATTCACCAGAGACAGTGGGGAGCAGAACAGGCAGACTGACCAATGCACTGCTGAGGGGAGCAGCGGGCGGTTCAGGAGAGGTCTGCCGCGCCATGTGGGTCACCTCCGGAACCCGGGATTGAACTCTCGCTGAAGTGACTTTAGGTTCTTAGTGCTGTGTTTTAACCCGCTGTGCTACCAGTAAAGGCCCTAAACCTGGATTTTTAAAAAATTGCAAAATAGAAAAGAATGAAACTTCTTTTTCATTTGATTTTTTTTACCTGCTTTTCTTTATTTTAGATTATGAAACCAAAATATCGATCCCTTTCTTATCCTTTTCTGCTTCCAAAATCTCAAACAACAGCCCACGAATTGAAATACCAAGTGCCTGGGTCTGTCCATGCTAACGTGCAGGTAAGTTTGGTTGTTCTTTTTTTTTCAGTTTCACTGGGTGAAATTACTCTGTTAACCCATTGGAGTCAGTGCCATTCATGCTGGCTTTAGCCTTTCAATAAACACAGCTCCAGAACAAATCTGAACCGACCTTTTAAAATGTTGTGTTATTAAAAAAAAAAAATTAAAAAAATAAAATGTTGTGTTATAACTCCCGTTTAAAATTCTTTATATTCACTGTTTCTAAAACGTCTAATAAATGTAATAAATTTGTGTCGTTAAAGAAATGCCAGTCAAGAAGAGGCTTGTCCTGTGTTCCTCTAAAGTGACCCTAGCAGGTGATACCCAGTAAGCCTAGCACTAATCCTGGTTAAGCACCTGGCATGTGGATGATTATTGTTCAGTCTAATTTTTGTTTCTATTTAACCAAATGCCTTTCAGAGTCTCTTTCAGTAAAATAAAGAATTTGCTTAATAGAATCAGAATTTTACCATATCCAGTCCAACCATGTCAAATTACAAATCAGAAAATTCAGACCCAGTGGAGTTAGGAGTCTGTCAGCTACATGTTTATTATCAGTAAAGGTAGAACATGAAATCATAGTCTACTTTTTTGTTACCCAGTCCGCTCCCTCTGCCAATTCTAGCTTAAATATTTTGAGGTCATACAGTGAGGAACTATGATGACCACCTTTGCCTTTGCCCTTGATTCAAAGTCATTACTGCCTGCATCGAAAGTATTCTTTAAACAGTGATCCACTATTTTGCTGCTGCTGTCACAAATCAGAATTTATATCATTTGGACATGGAGTCTAGTGAATAAGTTCATATAAATGAAATGCCTAAGTCAGGTGCTTTGTACTATAGGCAAGTAGAGGTATGTGTATATAAGAAATATAAAGGTATTCCAGACCACAGATCAAATAATAGAACAATCAAAAAGATAAACCATTTGAGAGAAATCCCTATAGGAAACACTTAAACATCCCAGGCTAAAGGAGACAACTAATTTAAACTTAGAGGTACAGATAGATATGCATTCATATATAAGTTAATGAATATTTTATGAGCCTACTTAATTGTATTCTACTTGGAAGGGAAAATTACCCATGCTGTACAATATAATAGGAACCTTGATATTAAAAAGAGAGAAAGAGAATTTAAGATCTGAGATGGCATTAAATTAACCCAGTGATCATCCTATCAAAGTTAGCAGATGCTCATTAAGCATCTGTTGGAAATGTTTTGTAGGGAATTGTGTATATTTATGATCAGCAAAGGATCTTTTATCCCAGGTTGCATGTATATATCTATATATGTCTTTTGATGCCTGTTGGTAAAACCTTGTTTTGCATATTCTTATCCTGCTGCCCTAGTGTGATAGATACTCTGGATACTCTGCATAACCATTGCACAAAATGCCACCCGGGAATCACCTTCTCTGCGATACCAGATGCTGTGTTAGGGAGGAGACCAGATCACTCATGTCCTCTGATAGTCTCATGATTTTATCCCTGTTGGGCCCAGGAAGTCTGGACACAAGAATCCAGAAAACCAATTGATTTAAAAGGAAATTTACCAAGATACATTCTTTCATGAATTCATTTATTGTCTTCATCTGTTAAGTGCCATTTATTTGCACAGTGAAGTTACCAACACACACTTAGAGGCTGAGTGGAGCACTGAAAGGGGGTTTTATGCCTCTGGGAACTTAATTAGTTGGGGGAGAGAAAGCTGCAAGGTTAAAACAATTCAGTTAGGGCCCTCCCTGGTGGCTCAGCGGGTTAAAGCACAGAACAAAGAAGCTTAAGCTACTTCCGCATGAGTTCGATCCCCGCCTGCCCCAGAGGTGACCACATGGCGCGGCAGACCTCTTCTGACCCGCCCACTGCTCCCCTCTCTTCGTCAATCTGCCTGTTCTGCTCCCCACTCTCTCTCTGGTGAATCCTCTCACCCTCTGCATCTCTGGCCTGTACCCTAGTTCTGTACGAATAAATAAATAAATCTTTTAAAAAAAAAGAAAAAAACAATTCAGTTAGCATTGCTAAGTATGGTCTAGGACTAAATGTCAGTATGAACGTGTGGGCCATATATCACGAATGTTTGGACAATGAGGACAGGACTGAGTGTCTTCTCTAAGGGACAGACTGCCTGCCAAGCACATGGCAGAACCAATGGTAGCAAGTCGTATGCTCTCAGGTGATGGTCGATGAAGTTCAGATGGAGAAGGTCAGGTTGGGGACACCCCCATGTGTGAACCTGCTTAATTTCAAACAGTTCCTAGAGACATTATTGGCCTTTGGAACTATATTTTGCATTCAAGGAAATGCATGGTATATAATATTTTATAATTAACTAAGTCAGGCCTTCCAAGCTGGGGCTTACCTACTTATATAGCTATTCTACTAAAATGATTTCCATGGACAAGTAAATTGTTGCAGATTTTTTTGAAAACACAGAATTTCATAGTGCCATTTTTGTTCTGGTATGTGTCATGATTTTAGTAAGAGTGAATGTAATGCTGTGAGCATTTCCCAAGCTTCATTGACTGAGGAGCTCTCAGTTTGTTGCACATCTGTTTCTAGTTCATTCCCAACACTCTTTGGGACTTACATTGTTCACATACGAAGAACTTACTAGACTAGAAAGAGAATGAAAGCAAGGCAAAAAGTGCCGAGGCTTTCATAGTGACTTCAACATTACTAATTTTGTATTTGCAAATCACTTATTCTTTTTCTTAAAAGAAAAAAAATACTCTCCTCCACTGCAAATTGAAAAGTGTAAGACCTCATAGAACCTGGATCTCTACTGGTTGTCTGTAGATATTTTTCAGAACTACCAAAGTAACTCCACTTGTGAAAATAGTGGCTCCAACCCAATTGGAATGCTTGAAAGCACCAGAAATTGACAAAGTTCCCTGATCCATTTCTCCCTTCCTGTTACATTCTGAACACAATATTATTTTACTTCATATTACTTGCTGGTTCTAAACATTGTTCATCATGTTCTAGACATAGTTGTTTTCCAGCCATGAACAGAGTGCTTAGATGGTGGAAAATATAATCCAGTCCAACCCCTGGTTTTCCAAAGAATCTAGAAGGGAGCAGAGAGATAGACCCCTGGCTGTGTGTGGCCTATTTAATTTTTAGAGTTTAAGTTACAAAGCACCAGCTCGGTTTCCCTCAAACAGAGTTGAAGAAAAGGAAAGTGGTTTAATTTGTTGACAAATGAGGAGGACAGCAGACTTGTGTCTGTAAGACCACTGTCGTTGGTAGAGGGCAGGGACATTTATTTATACAAATAAAAAAGGGAAATGGGCAAGGGTCAGCATGTCCTTTACATGCAGGTGTCTGGAGATTTCTAGGAAGATTCTGATGGAGGCAGCTTGTGATAATACCTGGTGTTATCATAGTCTTGGTTGAAGAATTTATTAAAATTCATACTTAGGTTTATGGTTTTTAACAGTTTATTGTTCATTACTTAATGTTGAGGCAGCCAGCTGAATGAATTGTAAAGGAGTATAATATAGTAAGCAGAAGAGGCAAATACTAGGCCCAATTTTGTGTTTGATTCCCAGCTTTGCTACATCTTAGTTGTGTAACCTTGGGAGAAACTGCCTCACCTTTCTGTGTGCACTTCTTCATCTGTAAGCCAGGATCATCTATAGTCTGTCTGTCAAAGGTGATGGTTAAATAAACTACCTATGCCAAGCACTCAGGAAATTGTATGTTTGAATTATATCAAGATGAGCTACAAACATCAAGAGTTCTTTAGTGCTTTTATAAGTTTATAACAAAGAAGTTGACGTTTCTCTGTCACCAAGTTATCTTTGCATACAGTATCTTTATTCCATGCATTTATTGAAATGGAAAGAGAGAGCATTTGACTTAATAAATAACAGATCAAATTCATGTTCTTTCATCTGTAGAAGGGGATACTGCTATTTAATTGGTTTTTTTTAAAAGATTTATTTATTTATTTATTTATTTATACAGAGCTGGGGTACAGGCCAGAGATGCGGAGGGTGAGAGGATTCACCAGAGATAGAGTGGGGAGCAGAACAGGCAGATCAACGCAGTACACTGCTGAGGAGAGCAGCGGGCGGGCCAAGAGAGGTCTGCCACTCCATGTGGATCTCCTCCAGGGTAGGCAGGAATCGAACTCGTGCGGAAGTGGCTTTAGCTTCTTAGTGCAGTGCTTTAACCTGCTGCACCACCAGGGAGGGCCCCTGCTATTTAATTTTTAATACAATAATATCAGGTCCAATCACCCCTGGCCACCTATGGCTGGTAATTCCACGTCCTTCATGATGCACAGCTGTAGCAAAAGGGTGACGCAGCCCTCAAGGAGCCAGAGCTGTGGCAAGCATGGAGAATGTTCCGTCTCCGACATGAAGCTCTGCTGCTAAAAAAGTCATCCAAACCTGAGGGCCAACTTCAGCAGCTTCCATCAGCACTTGTAAAATGATCCTGGGTGTTTCCCTTTAGTGCTGGGCATTCTCAGAAACCTGCCAAGAGCATTCAGTAAAAACAGAGTAGGAGAAAAGGGTGGGGGCAAGGGTTGGAGAAAAGTTGGTTCTGAAACTGCTTGTACACAGAGTATGTAAGCAGCTTGCATTCTCCCAGAAAATACTCACTAGATTCTGAATGCTTTCATTCCCAGTTAAAAGACATGTCTGGTAAAGTAAAAGAAAAGGCTTGATGCCAGATTACCATCCATAAGTCATCACTACGTGGAAATAAACCTTTCTCTTAAGTTGGGCAGCTGATGTTCCACAGGATAGCGAGGATATTCGCCATTAACTAGAGCTTGTTCTTTTCTCTTAAATGGGGAAACTGGATTAAAAAACCTGAACTGTATCTGCCTCTTTCCAACATATTTACTCTATTTTTTCACAAAAAAAGTATTAATTTTTGGCCAGGAAAATTAGTATTTACTAATGCTTTTTTAAAAAGCAAATACAGAATTAGACAAATTAAACAAAGGAAACTAAATATTAGTAACATTGCTGGACAATAAGCT